CACCCCCGGCCACATTTCCACTCTTCATTTTCCCTGGAAAGGCTGTGTGTGGCATTTATATGTTCCAGTACATAAACGGGCAGCTTGCAGAAAAGCTGGGCATAAATTGAAGCAGGTAAAATTGAACTCGTTGTCAACAAGTAATGGAGCACTGCATTCATTGGAAATGAAAGTAAATAACTTATTAAAAGACTATCTCTTTTAATGGAAACAGAGTGGCTACAGAAATTGCAGTGGGCTTGGAAATTTAGGCTTGCTTTGAGAGCTGATTATTTTTACTTGAGTGGAGGGACAGTGTTTCTGGTAGAGCATAATGCTCATTATACTCTTAAAGCATTTAGTACATCACCTTCACTATTCAGTTCACCGATCCTTACTCTGATGCTGTCCACCAGCACAAGGACATTGTATTAGAAATTGGGGTCTGCTTTAAGTTCCCAAGATGTGGGGAGGAACTGGTTCCCTTCTACCTGTAAGAGTTGTTATTTTTATAAACATTTTTTTTTTTAATGAGATGGGAAACTGAAGCTTATGTAGGAGTGTCACTGGTGACCTTAGGTGTCTGCTCTTTAGCCACAAAAACATGAGAAAAGGTCACCGATGCTGGATGACAGAGAAAGGGTGTGTGTTGCCTGTGGTACAAGGCATGACTTTAAGCAATCTTCAGCTTAGCCCCAGTTGTCATCACAATTCATAGTTCTGTATTAATTTGCTTACAAGCTACACACTGAAGTTGCCTGTCAAGCTATTAACAAACCTGGGTTTCTAGTGCTGTTCTCTGGACAGGTTGTGGAAGAGTTTGATACTGTTGCCAGTATGAATTTTGCTGTCTAAGATCTGGGATATGAACTCTGAAGGAAAAGAGAATGCTGTTCAAAAATAACTGATGATGAAATTAAAACCAGCAGGCAGCCTTTCAAACCTTCATTGTATAGACCACCACTAATGAAAAATGCAGAGGCAGATTTGGCTTGATGACAGCACTGGAGCTTCCTTCTCCCAGGTAGCAACTGAGCCAAAACATTTAATTCTGTGTGTAAAGCTGCTACCGATTTGAAGTAGAATTTGTTTAGATAAGAAAATTGGAATGTGTTACTCTTTTAAGAAATCCGCTAGCTAAACAAGAATTGCTAAAAGTAGTGTGTGTTATCGAAAGAAAAAACACTGGTGACTAGCAAAGGGAGAGTCGTTTTTCAAGGTAGTCAGCCACTTTCTTTTTATTTCCAGTCTCCAGCAGTTGGGAGATAGTGCTGGTCTGCTTGTTGTGCTTGCGCAGCTCGGCTAAGGAGCCCGTGATGGCAGCTCTTGCTTTCAGCAATTCTAACCTCAGCGAGTGTTTAATCATGCCTCAAACAGATTGGCTTTTCAGAGGAAAAAGTGTTTCTGTTCTGGTGTCGCTGTCCAGCTTAGTGGGATGTGTGCCGTGCCTGAGACATGGCCATCTGCTTCCCTCCAGACCATTTTCTTTCTGGCTTTTTCCGCAGTCTAAAGTTATCAACCCCAAACACTCGCCGACGATGGGAACTTACTGCTGCCTTCCCATACATGCTGGCGTCTCTGCTTCAGCCGAAAGCATGTTTCAGCTCCTGTTTTTGAGCTGACTTGAAATGGCATTACGGGGTGAGCTTAAGGGTCTCATCCTATTTAAGAAGCTTGTATTAGCATGACAAGTTGTAAAAATGTCAAAGTGGTTGCAGAGCCAGTGTCTTCCCAGGGACCTGGCGCAGGCTGCAGCCTGCCAGGACTTGACTGCATACGCTTGTTTGTAGGTTTATCCCATTATACTGTTATTATATTAAGTCACCTTTTTCAGTTGGTGATGGGGAGGCATTATGGTTCTGAGACCTTGCCCTTGCATTCGAGGCAGGAGAGAAAAGCTTTGGGATCGGTTCCATTTTTTTCAGAGAAATTCTTCCCGGAAAGCCAGGCGGGTGGGTAAGTACTTGAAGGCAGTTTGTGAATCTGCCGTCTGCTGATTAAACATGATGGTACTCGTGAAGTCAGGCAGAAGTGCAGGCTGCGGCTCCTCTCCTAGCTAATCCCTGCAGTGGCGGAAAGTGGGTGCTCATGCTGGCGTTCCGTTTGTCTGGACTCCACCAAGGGCAAGCTGAAGTGTAACGAACGCTCTAACTAGCTTGCTGCAATTGCACTGTGCTAAGCTCAGCCATAACACCTCGCTGCAGGTAATTAAAAGACAGGCTTGCTGAGGTTTTGTTAGTACGGTGTGTTTGCCACTAGATGAAACAACGGGAGAAAGGTGGATGACTTGTGTAAATTGTCAGGGGTAGGTGATTACCTGAACGCAGTGAACAGCCCCATTTGGAGATCACTCTCCTTCCCAGGTGAGCCAGGGGAGAGTCAAACCAGCGAACAAAAGAGTTTTTATCAGGCTGCTGAGCCAGCCTCTCCCCTGAATTTCTTAAAGCTTTTGAGAAAAATCTCTGAGCAGATATGTGCACATGAGTCATTTGGCAAAAGCGCTCAGCCAACTTCCCAGAGGGGAACTAAAATAATTTCCACATACAAGTAAAGCAAATAGCCTGTGTCTTGTTCATCCTACCAAGTATTATTGACTAGTGCTGAGTAAGAGATCTTTGCAGAGCGTTGATGAAAAGCTTGGCAACTCATTCCACTTGGGCTGGATTATTGCAGCATGGTTGTGTGATACTGAATTGCAAGGCTTTTAGTAGTCTTCATAGGCAGTTCAACCTGAGTCACTAAGCCTAAACTAAAACGTTTAAAAACCGCGGTTCACGCTTTTAAATACTAGCGTAGATGTACTCTGTAAGAACTGGAGACAATTTCAATATATGTTAGATTCTTCCTGTTAATGTGTAGAACAGGTACTGCCTCCTAAGATCCAGCTGAAATGTTCCACTGCGGTGGTATTTGAGACTAGTTGTATCGTATTTGGCTCATCTTTGTTCCATATCCAGTTTTACAACTACCAGGTGACACCCTAAAGAAACATCAAAGAAACCACGAACCGTTGCACTTAAGTGCTCCCTGAAAGATGTATCCAGTGAGCTACAGAGCTCCCACTCTGGATATGAAGGAATTTAGACCATAAGGCAAAAGCGGCTTTCATCTTTTAGACATTGCAGCAGCAGTGCAGTACAAATCCTAACTTTCAGTTAAAACCAAACCAACCCAAAAAGCTGTTTATCAATTTTTTTTCAAGGCAGTTCCCTAAACTATCTTGAGCTTTTTTGTTCTCTACTTACTAGTAAGTTTGGGAAAATAGAAGGAGAAACAGGCTTGCTGAATAAAATGCAAAATCACTTCTAAGAATTTTTTCAAAAAGGAGAACAGAAGTACTTTGGAAGCTACTGAGCATTTAAAATATTAGCAGTACATTTTTGGATTTGCAAGAGAAGCTGGAATAAACACATTTTCATCCGTGGCCGGGATGAAACCTGAAGTCTGTTTCAGGTTCATGCAGTGTTGTTTCTTGTTCAGTTGTGACAAAATTAATCCAATCTGGATGCTGAATCTAGATCTATAAATATATTTATTATAATATAACAAGAACTTAACAGTAAACATAAACTATATACAATACCATTACAGATAACCCTGTTTTTAATATTATTCACAGAAATAGCCAGTTTTGTTCCAGTGTGAGAAATGAAGAAATAAGCTAAATTGGAAATGTTGAATGTGTTTAGGTCTTGTTGACAGGTAGCACCTCCTTTGGAGGTAGACACACACCAACACTAAAATTAGTCCTGCCCCAGGCAGTTAGAAACTTGTGCTCCAATCTTTAGGTTCACACTTGCACCCTGTTTGACATAAATACTTTAAATGACATACTAGTATATAATTTTGTTGTGCTTATTATTTTTTTTCTTCAAAGAATAAATAAAACAACTGCATAACAAAGGCTGGAACCTCACTGTCAAAATGAGAGACTTGAGTCACCCTATAGCTTGACTCAGTTGACTTGAGCACTTTTTCTTTAAATACTGCAAGATACAAATTTCATTTTTTTTCTTTTATTTTATAAACGATTATTAACAAAATAAGATGATTAGCTAACCATCTGCATTGATTTCCCCAAAGCTGTAGGCAGACCTCCCTCCATATAAAAAGGCTAGCATATTTGGTATGAAATTCAACTAGATGTTAACTGTAAGATCTCACCCACGCCTTGTATAGGACCCTCCTTCTTGAATTACTGGCATGGCATTTGGGATTTGAGTCTGCAAAGGCAAGTATGGCAACTTTTTTCCCTCTACTTGGAAAGAAATCAGGCAATCCTTAGCTTGGGGTTACTTCATATTTCTGAATTTTAAGATTCTTTCCCCTGCCCCCTCTGTGTTACCCGGTCCATCTCCCATTTGATCCTTTTATGTATAAATTTATAAAGAATTTCCACATCACAATGCTCTCTGGATAGACAATATTTTAATATATATAAAAATATAACCCCTGTGCTGTGCATATACTTACAACTCTACATAGTAATCATTTTAAGTCTCTTATACTGGGCTTAAGTCTATGCATTTTTCTACCATGGGATTTAAACTCGTGTGTTTAAAATCTGTAAATAAGAGAAGTATAAGGTTTCCACACCTATGGGGAAACTTGAAAAATAAAATAAAAAAACTTCTCAGACTTTACATAAGATAGTGGCGTATATCCCAACGTAAGGAATTTTGGTTGAGAGCCAAAACTGAGTGCGTAGCCACAACAGGAGGCATCTTCTCCATTTGATGAAAACGTGGAAATCCCACACTGCACTGTGTGTTTTAATGTGATCCCAATCCGAAGTGAAGAGCGGGCTTATCAGGAGAATGCCTCTGGAATCGAAACTGTTTTCATTTTGCATTACGGGAATTGAGCACTGCCAAGTTTGCTCATCGGCAGAAACCAGGAGGAGAAGGTTTAGAAGCCCCCCCCGCCCCGACCTGTGGGCATGGCCACATGTGCCCACACAAGTATCACCGGGAGCAGAAACTCATCCAGCCCAACAGACCTTTTTTTTCATCATTTTACATGGAATTTATTACCAATGGCTATTCTTCTTCTTCCCAGTCCCCACCTCACCCCTCTTCTGGGCTCTGCTCTAGAGGACTGAAAGATTCATTTGATCTGTTGGAAGACTGACATCAACATAAGCCATCTGTCACACAAGATTTCTCTCAGTCATTGGTACTGAAAAGCATGTATTTGTTAAAAACAAATGTAGGAATCAAAGTGGTAAGGACACTTTGACCTTTCAAATAGATTGATGCCTAAAGTGTAATAGTAAAACTAATCTGCATGGTTATCTTAAGAATCAAGCTTGAGCTCTAAAGTAAAATGCAGATTTTTTTTTTTCCTCTCTTCCCCAGCTTAAAAAATATGTGAAATTCTATTGCACCTGGGTTGACCAAAAGCCGACGTCCAGAACAAGTGCCACTATAACATCTAGTGACACCCTTGTATTATTAAGTTACAATATCTTACATAGCACGGAGCTCTCTGCTCCTTTTCACCAAAAGGTGAGGATGATTTTTCTACATTCAATGTAGACACTATTCAAGACTTTAGAGCAATATGTTCACTGGCTGGCTTCGCTGCTTTTGTTTCTTAAGTAGTAGTATTCTTCTTGCCTGCTTTCAACAGGTACAAACAGTTCTCCATCCAATTCCTGGGTAGTATCAGCCGCTCTGAATGTACTTCTTGATTACTACACAGCCATGTCGAAAAACAGGGCAGGGCATATTTGGTAGAAGTGTCCATGTATTTGTTTTAGGGTCGTAGGCTTCCATGTTTCCCAGGGCAGGTCCTTCGCTGCTAACGATCCCACCAGTGGCATAAATTTTTCCATCCAGAACCACAGCGCTGTATTTTTAAAATAAAGAAAGTTTTAGTTAGTCTTCTTACCCAATAATTTTCTTTTTAGGATTAAAACAAACCCAGTCTTTCATAACAAGGGGTAAACGACGAATGCATCTTTTATCTATATAAAGCGTGTGTGGGTATTTCTTTTCCCTCTCTCTTTCTCTCCCCCAAATTAATCCTCTTTATGTTTCTGCCAGGTAGGTAAATGTTGTCTCTAATTTAAACAACAGAAATTAGTCCAAGTAAGTTGTTTCTCCAGCCCACCGTTGGGATCTGCAGCAAATGTAGCAGGACAACGTGTCCCTGTAACACCATGCACATGTGAAAGCAATCTAAGCAATTCAGAGTCCCTGCTGCCTCAGTTGGAATAAACCCTTGCTTCAAGTTACTCCTCTAATTATCAATGAATGCTGCAAAGTGGGGAAAAAACCCCTCTGAAAAATGCTCTGTTCCTTCAGCCCCTTCCATGGTCACGCTCTGGCGTGGGAGCCCGGAGGTCCTGCTGACTTGTCCTCCTTGCACACCCAGGAGTGGGGGGACCAGTGGGAAGCCAACCCGGGGGACGCAAATCTGATGGTTGGGGATGTGCAGCTGAGGGATTGCCAGAGGAGCTCTATGTTGGCATCTAAAGAAGACAAAAAACCTTACTGCTTTTTTTCAAATGGAAGTGTTTGACTTCAGACATCTCTTGCAAATCAAGGATAATGAGGCTGGGCTAATCCTGTGGTCCATAGGCTCTTGATAGGAGGGAAGGTACCTAGGTGGGAAGGTATTTGAAAGAAAAATTGCCCTTCGGCCTCATCTCTTCCTCCTCCTCCTTCCACTTAATGCCTTGGCCTCTCCAGCAATCATGCATAGGGCATGACACTTGCTTTGGGCTAACGAAGACAGACAACGAGGGGCTGGGCTCCTGGGTGGGTATTTGGAAAGGGCAGAAGGATGACAGAGATAGCAGGCAGCTGGCTGGGAAAAGCCTATGCAGGGCTGCTGTGTTCTCCATGCTGCCTTCCCAGTGCGTGGCGGGAACCCAAAAGTGGGGGAGGCTCTGCTTTTCATCTGCTGGGAAGCCTGAGTTTGGCCCCCAACATTTGAAGATCATGTTAAGCTGGATGGGGTTGGCGGTGGCTTTCTGGTGGTTGGGGTCCCTTCCAAGAGGTTTTCTGGTGGTTGGGTCCCTTCCAAGAGGAGTTGGTGGACAGTTGTGTTGGGAAGGAAAATGGAGACTTGGAGAGTACGTACACACCAGAGGACAGCAGGGAGGAAAAGAGGGAGGGGAAGATGAAAAATTAATTGCAGCCAAGAAGGTGGCCTAGATCAAAGAAGGTGGAGAAGGGTAGTAACCCTGCAGGCTTGGTAAAAGCAAAGTAATTTCTTCTGGCTAATTTTGGAGCAGCGGGAAGAAGGAGGATAAAAAGTGATAAAGGCAAAAGACAGGGAGCAGTGGAAGACCCAGGGTGAACTGAGACTAAAATGGCACTGACAAAGCCACATGTTTCTGAAGAACACAAAACTCTGATGTCCTTGCCGGAGAAGCAGAGCCTGAGGTTAAAAATAAACCCACAATGACAACAGTGAGGACTTAAATAAGCCTAGTCCCTGGGTACTGCCAGGAAATAGGAAATAATGAGAATCTTGTCAAAATAACTGTTAATCTGAAAGGAGGAAGAAGGAGAGAGAGACTTGAAACACTTGATTAGAGCCTATCCACAAATCAGCAGGGCTGGATGATACATAGCCCAGGGTCCTAAGGGAGTTTGCTAATGAACTTACTGAACCACTGGTAATTATTTTTGAAACGTCAGGGAGAAACAGGGAAGAACGAGGACTTGACTAAAGCAAGTGTCATCCTGAAAGACGGCTCTGAAAGAGAATGAGCCCACCTCCAAAGGAGCTGGAGCTGGTGGTGGAGAGGCACTGCCCAGCAGGGACTCCTGCCAGGGCTGAGGTCCCCCTGGCCAGGAGGGATCAGAGGTGGCAGGACCAGCAGACCCAGTAAATCAGACAAACGTGCAAATTAAGCCACGGTGTTGTGGGGTGGGAAGCCCGTCTCTGTACTGGAACAAGTTACTGTTTTAAAGCAAGACAGGCTGGGAATTGCAGCTTGCAAAAATACAGCATGAGGAGGGGAGAAGGATGGTCCTACCCCATGCTGAAACAGTCCTGATGTGGCAGAGGGGCTGCAGAAACCAGCAGGATGAGAGTTTAGAAATGAGGCCATGGGGTAGTGGTTGCTGTTTGTGTTTCACTTTTTTTTTTCTTAATAGTGAAGCTGAAGGAGTTGGAAGATTATTTGAATTGGGATATGGTTTGGGATGTACTGGGCAGAAGAGGGGCCAATGTCAGAGATGGACTGTGGTACAAAGCAGCTTTGCTGCCTTGGTTCTCTAATGAAACGCTGATCAGTCATTAAAAAATTATCCCTACACAAAGCTTGACAGAAAAAAAAAAAGGGGGTTAATTTAGCAATTTAATTGGGTGAAATGGGAAAAACCAAACAAACTTCCAAAGAAAAAAAAGATCCCCAAGAAAGATCTGGCTGCAGAACTATCAATAATGGGCAATTAAAAGAAATACTAGTGTGGAACATGGAGCCTGGGGCCGGTTCCATCAGTGTTGATGGTCAAGGTCCAGTGCCCATGAATGGCCTCACCCAAGTTTTAATTTACTAGTGCAGACACACTAGTGTAGATGACAGCACCTCACACCACCACAGGAGAGGACCTTGCTGGCTGCTGCCACTTGCATACGAGGCCTAATACTTCCTACTCGTTACGTGATGAGACTGCTCTGCTCGGAGCTTTTGATCTGCATGGGAAGGATGGGGTGGACAGAGGGAGGACCCTGTGTGAAGACCCTTCCATCTCTGCTCTAGGTGACCCTGGGAACAGGAGCCAAGCTACCACCAGCCCTTCCTACCTGGCTGTGTGCTGCACAGCTGAAGTCTGGCCTGAAGTGCCAGGTATCCCCTTGGTCATCTAGTGTTAGGTCTCTAAACAGGGACATGGGTGCTTTATAAATTCCTGCGTAGTATCTTAGCTGCCCACATTTCTTCTAGTAAAGTCTCCTCTGTGTCATGTTTAGTAGCAGCTACTCTAAGCCAAAGCTGCTGCCACCGTAGAGCCGCTGAGTAGCTAAGCACACCCTCCTGAAATGATCTGGGTCCGGGTTCCTCCCCAGCCCATGCTCTGGATTAGAGGTTACAGCAGGTGGGCAAATGTTGCTCTTGTTCTCCAGCACCTGGGCTACAGCACTGAAGGAAATTCCTGCCCAGCAGCTGGGACAAGCAGCTCCATCCTGTAACCTCCCATCATGGTGCTAATGTGCTGGGGAAGAAATGGATGCTGAATTCCACCCTCTGAAAGACTGTATGAATTTTAAGTAGTGATTAGAGTAGCTTCTGTCCCCTCCGTATGCAATTCCCATAGCTAAAACTGGCATAACGCTTAGCTTGTGAGTCATGCCTGAGGTTAAGAAAAACGGTGAGCTACTGCTATCAAGAAATAGGCAGTTTTAAGTATGCAGTGGGTACAGGGGACTTTGGAGACATTCAGGCATCTCTGGGGCTAAAGTGGCAGGTAGGTACTTAAGATCAATTAGGAATTTAGTCCTAGATTGCTCCTACTTTGCAGTATTAGAACAATCACTGCTAATTTCTGGGACCTTAGGGAGTAGGAAATTCAAGTGGGCTCTAAAACCCTGAGGAAAGTGAGTGGAAAGGAGTATGCTCATTGCTCTTTCTTCATTACTGTGACAATATTTCTTTTCTCCCCTCCCTTCCATCCCATCAGCTGTAAAAACATCGTTACCAAGGCTGACGTACAAAGAAAGAAATAATTACAATAATTAGGATGAGAGTTTATTGCTTGGTGCCATTAATCCTGAGAGATAAAATGATTACAGGCTGTCAGAGCCTGGGAAGGAATGCAGCTTCGCACCACAGAGCCTCACTGAGGGGACACAAACTCTCCAGCAGCTTTGGAGGCAGCGACCTCCCCAGCTAAGGAGCAGCCGGACCTCCATCTCTCCAGCAGCACACCCAGGGTGAACGTAATTGGTATCAAAATGGAGGTCACTCCATCCACTCCTTCCAGGAAAATACATTTCAGCATTTTGCAAATTATTACCCGGCAGGCTAATGACCCTGCTTTCTACTCCGCAGGTAATTACTGTCGTTTACTAGACAGGCTTCACCTATAGCCCTGCAGCAGATTCACTGGAGGTGCCAGGGCGTCCTTCATTGCCCAAACCATGAGCAGTGTCAGAGGATCACGCTGTGACTATCCCCCAACACGGCCACCACTAGTCTGGTCCATCTGCTGACCTCCATGAAGCTATGAATCACAATCCTAAGAAAATCCCTGTGAGGCTGAGGTGCACCAAGGGCTGGTGGGGACCTGGCTGTCTATGGTTGGAATGCTTGTGTAATCTAAACACCTTTTAAATCTCTTCTCGCCTACCCTCCTCGCAGTCCTTCCCCAGCCTGAGAAAACAGGTGGCAGAGAAGATCCCTCTCTGACAGCTGGCCATTAAAGGACTTGATGGACAAGGCGAATCATTGAATCATAGACACATAGAATAGCCCAGGTTGGAAGGACCTCGAAAGATCATCTGGTCCAAGCTTTCATGGGAGAAGGACACTAGATAAGATTATCTAGCACCCTGTCCAGTTGCATCTTGAAAACCTCCAGTGATGGGGACTCTAGCATGACCCTGGGGAGCTTGTTCCAGTGGGTGATTGTTCTCACCGTAAAAAATTCTTACATTGAGATGAAACCTCTCCCAATGCAACTTGAACCTGTTGCCCCTTGTCTTCTCCATGTGGCTCCTTGTGAAGTTAGAGCCTCCATCCTCCTTGTAGTTGCCCTTTAAGTGCTGGAATACTGTGTGAGGTCCCCCCGGGCCTTCTCTTTTCCAGGGAGAAGGGACCAAACTCCTTCAGTCTTTCCTTATAATGCAGGTTCTCCACCCCTTTGATCATCTTCGTGGCCCACTTCTGGACC